GGGATTCTTTTTTCTTGTTGCTGTTCTGATTTTGTGTCCTTCTCTATCCTATCCTCTAAATCACTAATTCGATCCTCCACTTCATCCAACCTGTTGATTTCCGCTACTCTTTATCTTATATATTGCATTCTTCATTTCTGACTGGTTCCCTTTAATGTTATCCATCTTCATTTTTATGTTTTCTTAAAGTTTTCACTGAGTATATATACTCTTCCCCTAAGTTCATTGAGCATTCTATAACCAGTGTTTTGAACTCTGCATCTGATAGATTGCTGTCTCCACTTTTTTCGGTTCTTTTTCTGGAGTTTAGTTTTGTTCTTTCATGTGGGACATGTTTCTTCATCTCCCCATTTTGGCTGCCTCCCTGTATTTATTTCTATATATTAAGTAGGGCTCCTAAGTCTCCTGGTCTTTGTAGAGTTGGCTTTATGTAGTAGGTGTCCTGTGGGGCCCAGGGGCAGTCTTCCCTGGTCACTAGAGCAAGGTAATCAAGGTATATACCTTGTGCGGGTTGTGTGCGCTCTTCTGTTGTAGTTAAGCCTTGTTTGCTAATTGTACATCGATGAGAGAGATTGACCCTTGGGCTGATTGGTTGTGAGGACTGGACAGTGAGGGGCTGACCCTATAGAGCAGGATTCATTTTAGGAGGACTCTGGTGCCTGCCCACTCTGCCTTTTGGGTATGCCCTCCTCAGATGCCACCCTGAGTGTGCTCTGGCTCCAGCACTGGTCAAAATATGCCACTGGGTATACTAGTCCAGGGGCTGCCTGGGAGGTCCCAGCTTGAGGTCAAGTTCAGCTTCAGCCTATGTACTTCCAGGACCACCTGGTAAGAGTCACCAAGCAATCTGCAGATGGCTGCCACTGATGCTGGGCTTGTAGGTGCCTCAAGAGGCCAAGCCAGGAACCAAGGCTGGCTGCCACTAATGCCAGGCTTGGGCCTCCTCAGCAAGAGGTATGGGGCACACCAAGGTCAGATGCTGCTTCTTTGGCTTTGTGAGCCTTTGAGAAATTTTAGGAAAGTCTGCAGCATGAGCCAAAACAGGTAATTTGTATGGAATAAATGACTAAAGGTAGCTTAGGTGGGCCTGTGAATTGGGAGAGGTGGAGTCTCAGGGAATCACCTGGGCAGAGTAACCTGTGTTAACGAGGTTGATGGAGACTCAAATATGGTGGCCACCTGCATCCATTTGCTGAGAAGGGAGGGCCCAACAAAAGAACAATGGATGCTACCAGCACTTTTGTCTGGGAGAAAGCTGCCCCTCCAGCCCTCTTCTTGAAGCCAGAAAACTCAGTTCTGCCCTATATGTCCTTGACACACCTCAAGTAGCTGCCCCAGTGCTGAACCCAGAGCAAGTGAGTCCATCACCAAATGGGTTCACGCATGGGCCTTTTAAGAGGAATATCTGCGATTCTCGCAGCTCTCTGTCTCACTCAGCCACAATCTACACTGGTTTTCACAGCCAGAGGTTGTGAGGACTTCTCTTCCTGGCACTGGAACCATGGGCTGGGGAGCCCAGCATGGAGCCAGAACGCTTTGCTCCTTTGGGGTGACCTCTGTCCCTCCTACCAGTCTTGAGGTGACATCTTATGTATGTTTCCAGTTGTAGAACTTCTGTTCAGCCAAACCTCAGGCAATTCTCAGTGATGGTTGTTCTGTAGTTTCATTATAATTTTGGTGTGATCATGAGAGCAGGCGAGCAGAGTCTACCTTCTACACCATCTTGACGGAACCCTGAGCATGAGAATTTTTAAATATAATTTATTGGAATATAATGACATACAATAAAGTGCACATATTTAATATATAGAATTTGCTGGATTAATAGAGCCATACAAGAACCAGGCAAAATGGTGTAGATGTGGTCTTGCGACCACATCAAAGTTGTGACTGAAACACAGAGCAA